ACAGCGTGAGGCTGGCCATCACGGTCAGGCAGCCCGTGGAGGCTGCCGAGCGCCCTCGACCAAGTCGACGGGCACCCCCAAGGTTGTCGTTCACAGCACTTGATGGATACCCTCGGCCGGCGACCCCGGGGGGCCCGCAGCCGCGTAGCAGGCGCGGCCCTCGGAGATGAGCTCGGGCACCGTCTCTGCAGCATCGCGGCCGCGGACTTGCTCACGATCTCTACGACCTCCAGGTTGTCAATGTAGACCATCCGCGCCGCACGGCATGGATCCTCCACGCTGAACGGCAGCCTCGGCGTCGAGTGACCTCCCCGCTGGGCGGCAGCCTGCGAGGGACAGAGGTACTCCGCTGCAGCAGGTGCGGTGGAGGTGGGTCGTCACGCCCACGGAACTGATCCAGCCCAGGCCGACCACCCGCAAGCAGATGCGCGCGGTCCCGCCGCCCTTCAGGCCAAGCAAGTCCGAGGGGGCGGCGGAGCCAACAACGGTGTAAGGCCGCCGCGCAGGCGACCCGCGAAGACGTAGAAGAAGGCCTCCTTGCCCGCGCCGCGCCACAGCAGACCCTCCGACTCGGACAGCGCCAGGCCGTCCAGCTGGATCATGGTCGGGAGCTCGGGGGCGACTCCCACGATGCACTCCTGGCACGTGTTCGACGGGATAAGGTTGGTGGTCAGCCTCAGGGTCGGCCGGCGCCTGCGCTGCAGACCGCGGGCACGCCGCGCAACTCGGGCACCCCGAAAGCCCCGTGCACGTCCGGCAGCGTCAGCTCGTCCAGCCCCTGCTCCAGCGTCAGCCAATGTGGCGCCGAGATCTCGTTCCCGCCGCAGACGATCATGGATCCTTCAGCCGCACTGCAGTCGAGAACCGGTGACAGAGCCGACTCGGCCCGTGTAGCCAAGTGGAGGCGGCGACCGAGAGCGGCCAGGGCTGCCTCCCGCGCGGTCTAGGTCCGACCTCGACGGGGTCTGGCCAGCCTCGGGGGAGCCGAACCAAGCCTCCCAGTGCAGAGTCAGGACAGCGACCACCCGTCTGCAGTGTAGTCCTTCCCACTCCTTGTCGCTAAGAATGGGTCCTCGCCCTGCTGGACGATCTGGGACCTGATGAAAGAAGGGTACGGTAACGGCAACAGATCTCGCTGAAGCCGACCTCCCATGTCGGCCGAATGCTCCCGTGGCTTTATCTCGAGGGAATATCCAGTGGAGCGAACGGAAGGAACCTGGGAACTCGCGGACTACATTCTACCTCATGGGGACCACGTCGGAAAAGTTCCCACAGAGGGTCACTCCCCGCGCCAGCCCACGGGCCCCGCCCTGCCAGCGGATCTGCCCTGTCGCAGCCGGCAACCGTGCTGCAGATCGGCGGGCACGGCGAGGATGCTGGGCGGCCCGCGGTGGCAGCATCATGACGCCCAGGAACCAGCCCCGAAGACGGCGAGCGCAACGGCGAAGTCCAGGGCGGTCTGCACGAGCGGGCAACCTCGGCACACGCGGTCACATCCGCACGCGCTCCGTCAGCGCCGGCACCACCAGCTCGCTGCCTCACTCTCGCCGCAGGAAGGCCGCCTCGACCTCGGCCCGGGCGCCTCCTGCCGCCGCGGCGGCGGTCGAAAAGGGGGGGGGCCTGGCCTCCTAGCGGACCTTGCCGCGGGCCCGCTGCCGCCGCAGCCGCGGGCCAGTCCTGCCCGAAGACGTGGCGCTCCGAGCTCGCCGCCAGAGAGACACGCCTCGGCTCGCACGCCACCCTCAGGTGCGGGCTGGCGCCTCGAGGCGTCCTCAGCGAGCCCAGAGATGGCGGCCTGCCCGCGCTGCCTGAGCGCGCTGCGCCTGGGCGGCCCGCGGGCGGGGCTGCGCCTGGGGCCCTGCCCAAGGCCCAGCTGGGCCTACCGCCCGCAGGGGAAGAAGCGGCCACGGCCGCGCCCGCTGCTCCTGCCGCGACCGCGGCTCTGCTGGTGGCTCGGCGAGGGCGAGTCGGCTCTGCCGCTTCCGCGCCCGCCTCCTCGGGTCGGGCTCGACGCTCGCCCTGGCCCCTGCCACCGAGCTTGCCGCAGCTCTTGGCGTCCAGCAGCCTCCTGCGCAGCATCGCCACGTGCCGCGCCAGGCCCTGCTCGCCCATCGAGGCCAAGAAGAGCCGCGCGTCCGGCACGACCCCAGCTCGCTCGCCATCCGCCAGTACGCGTCGGCCAGGGACAGCTCCAGAACCTCGAACCTCCGCACAGCACGTCGCACAACTCCGCCAGGCATCCGTTCTCCAGCGAGTCCAGCACGGTCGCCAGCGCCTGCAGCACACGCTGAGTGTTGATCAGCATATGCCCTGGAGGGTGATGGCCGAACACCACGACCCGCAAGTATCCCATGACCTTCGCACGAGCCTCTGAGCGGCCCGCCCCTCTTCCTGCAGACCCCTGCCGCGGCTGATGTTCTTCATCATCGCCTCGTCGTGAAGGGCACCTGGGCGCTTCGCCACCAGCAGCCGCACGCTGCCGACGCAGGAGGGGGGCCTCGCCAAGACGCGACTCTCCGTCGTCGTCCCTGCGCGAGCCTGGGGCGCCCCGGGGGCAGCGTCGACCGCGGCCGCCAGCGGCGCCGCCAGGCGTCGTCGCTGCACCCTGCGTGCGCGCCGCGGCAGCACCCGCCAGGCGGTCGGAGGTCGGGCCTCCGAGGGGGGCGCCCCCTGCCAAGGCCACGCCGCCGCCGGGCCCGCCGAAGATGCTCGGGCGCACCCATGGCTCCACGAACGCGCGGTTCAAGCGCAGCCGCAGCCACTCGACGTGCGGGACTCCTCGGCCAGGCTCGGCGGGCCCCCCGCACAGTGCCGGCCCCTGCCCGCACGAGCGCAGGAGGCTGCAGGCCCAGCGCCGCGCGGCGGGGACAGGCCATCCAGCTGCTTCGCCTCGACCACCAGCGACGCTCTCCTGAACTGGGCGCATCGTACTGCTCAGAGCGGCCCGTGGCCCCGATCTCCTCTTACCTCGAACGAGGCAGTCCCGCTGATGCCCCCAGCTGCAACCTAGGTCAGGAGCACGAGATTCGCACCTCGGTGCCAGGCGGCACCAGGCAGGGCCACGGGCTGCCGCCCCGGACCGTCCACGAGAGTCCCAGCCGCGCGCCGGCCGTGGGGGGCGTCCGGCTCGCCTGCCACCGCGATCGGCAGTCCATGGATCGTCGGCCCCCAGGTGCCGCACGTGGAGGAGGGCCACCAGGGGGGGAGGCCGACGCCGCCGTCCACGAGTGCCCCCACCAGCGCAGCGCCCACGTCGCCGAGGGGAAGCCTCCGCCCCAGGCACGGCGCCGCCACCCGGGGGCGCCTCAGCACCCGCGCCGCCTCCGAGGTCGGGCAGGCCGGGCAGCGCCGTCAGGCCAGGCGCCGCAGATGCGCCAGCGCCCTCGCCGCGGGCGCGGCCGCCGTAGCACCGCCGACCGCCGCAGCCGCCGCCAGGCCGGAGCAGCCGCGGGAAGGCGACGGCGCCTCCGCCTCTCTCCGCGGCTCCTCGCCCGAGGCCGCCGGCGCCGCGCCCTCGGCTGCGGCCGCGCGCACGGCCCCAGGACTTTCGCCTTAGCCTTAGCCTCGGCCCGGCCCCTGGCGACGGCCCTCGCCTTTGGCGATCTCGACCCCCCAGGCCGGCGAGCGCGAAGAGCAGCGCGTCCGAGACCCGGGCGGACACGAGCAGCACCGCCCTTTCCTCCACGCCGAGGCGGGCGTGCCACCCCGCCTGCTGGGTCAGCCCGATGACGTAGCCCAGCTCGCAGACCTCCAGGAGGGCTCCGCCTTCGGCCAGGGCCAGCGACCCCCCTTGCCCGAGGGGTCCAGCGCACCAGCCGCAGAGGCACACGGGCGGCGGGCGCGGCACGGTGGTCCTCGGGAGCGGATCTGCCCTCCCTGGAGGGCGCAAAACCAGCCAGAACAGCTGCCATGCAAGCGAAAGCGGCCGATGTGACACGCTACCCCCCCGACGCCCACACATCTTCCGTAAACGTATACATAGATGCATGTGTATGTGATGTTGCACGCACACCTACAATATCAAGAAACAACCCAACAAATGGAGGGTCCCGCCTCATCCTTTTGAGGTAAGAGAATTGGCGGAGAAAGGCAGGACCGACGCTCGGCTCTGGAGCGGGGCTCTGCGTTCAACTCACCGACTCAGCGCGCATGGGGCTCGCCGGGCCAACTGCTCGATCGGGACTGGGATCTCATAAATTGAAGGCCGCCGTGCGACGTCGCCGAGGCTCCGCGCCGCCGCCACTACCCACCACCGTCTCTGGGGACGTCAACTGACCACCTCACCGGTCCTGGGAGTCCTGGGCCCGAGATCGGTGTGTGTGCTCCTTCCTGGCTTGGCCGGGGAGACGCAGACACCAATCCTGGGACCAGGATCGCCTGGCCAAGGTCGGTGTATGTCGACGCCCTCAATGCTGGGTTCTAATAAACCCCAGCGTCCTCTTGCAAGAGGACTGACTTCCTTTGTCCTCCAGCCATCTGAGATCCCAAGAAGCGAGAGCACACTCACTCTTGAACTCGACCAGGCGCAGTTTAGGCAGGCCTCTGAGGGAGGAGGCGGGAAGGAGGGAGAAGGGAGTGGAGGGAGAGGGGGAGGGAGGGAGGGAGAAGGAAAGGGTGCGAGGGAGGGAGGGGGGGGGGAAAGAAGAGGGAAAAGGGAGAGGTGGAAGGGAATGAGGAGGGATGAGGAGGGATGAGGGAGGAGGCGGAAATGGGGGGAGGAGAAAGGGCAAGGGGAAGGAGGCAGTGGAGGAGAGTGGAAGGGAGGGCGGAGGAGGACTGCGGCTGTGCGTCGGAAGCAGCATACGTCCCGCGCTCCCTTTCGCCCCTGCCGCAGCGATTTCGGTGCCGTCGGCAAGCCTTTGCAGCATCCACTTCGCCCCGTCTGTCAGAACCGATTCTCTCCGTGCGCCCGTGCAGGGTCGGCGCGATAACATCCCCGCGACGCTGTGCTCCTGATCCTGGTCCTAACCCCTCTCACTCTCGCGGCTCGCGCAGGGGTCCTGCCGGAGGCCGTTCGCTTGACAGAGGTCTGCGGCTTCATGGTCGAGCTCCTGTCCGCCCAGTCGGCGAACAAGCGCTTCGAGAAGGGCTCCTCCCGCCGAGTCGATTGCAAAGATCAACCTCAGAAGCACAACGAGACGACCTGCGCGTGGACCGACTTCGTTCCGTTGGCTGGGGAACACAAGACCGGGGACAACACAGGGCAAGTACGAGCTCAAGGACTTCGAGGCCACGGTAGCCGCCACGAGGCCGAGGGGACCGAGCATCGATTAAGCGATCCCCATCGCCACCGGCGTGGCCTCGGCCCCACTGGCCCGTTTACCCCTCCGAATGGGGATATGGGCTGTGCCCGTCGGGTTTCGAGGGGCATATCCCCAGCTGGGGTGGCGGTATGGTGAGCGCTGGGAAACCGTTGCCCAGTGAGGATGGGAACAGGTTCTACGATACTGGGGGGCAGCCAGGAGGAGCAGCCAGGAGGAGGGCCCAACCACAGGATATCCCAGCCACAGAGGGCAGCACCAGGGCCAGGGACAGCCGGGGACAGTGCCGAGCCCGAGAAACTCGGCCACATCTTGGGGCCGCACCAGGACCGGGAGCAAGGTGGAGCCAAGGAAGCCCGCGGCAGCGGAGAGCAGAACCAGAGCCAAGGGACAGCCAAGGTCAAGGCCGAGCCACGGAAGCCTTCATGGGAGCCTCTGTGGACCTCCGCGGCCCTATCATAAACGTGATTTCGACCAAATTTCGTCCAGCCCCCTTCACTCTCTCGCCCAGGTTTCGTCCTGATTCCGTCCAAACGTCAACCAAATCCGACGGAATCAAAACGAAATCCAAAAAACCATAAGGAATTCTGGGACCCTCTGAGCCTCCCATGAAGGATCGCACAATTCTGATGCCAGTTTACACAGAACCCTTCAGAACAAGCGCTCCTTCGTAACAGAGCAAAGATTCGAATCTCTACAGGAAACGCCACCAGAATCTAAAACTGCCGTGCGCAGGCGAGGAAGGCACAGCGAATATGCCAAGAACTCACGACGAGCCCCTTCGGAACAGCACCATCGCCCTCGTGCCCGGAGGCCAGTCCTGCACTTGCTGTGCAGCTGCTGCTCCGCACTACGTGGTGAACGAATGCGAGGCGGGAATTCAGCCTGGGAGCCGACGTCCCGGTGCCCCAGCGGGCGGTGGATATGGATGTATATTTCGGCCTCCGGGGGCCCGAACATGTCCAGATCCAACGCCTGCCGAGGCTCCGAAAACTGACCCTCCAGGCGGTGGACATGGACAAATTCCCGCCTCGGAATGAAAGAAGGGGCACACGCCAAAGTGAGCATCGATGAAAGCAACAACGGAAAAGAGGAAAGTACGGAACGGAAAAAGAGCAGACGGCAGAATGGAAAGGGAGGGAGGGGGAGAAGGAACGCGAAGATAAGGCACAAGAAAGGCATGAAAGACCTTCTCGGACCACTCCCGTCTAGCGAGGAAAAAAGGACGGCGATGAAATTCAGTTGGTCGGAGGGGCCCACACATACAGGAAGAACAAAGCAAAGCCGCCCCGCTGTAAATCCAGACCAAAGCCGGCACAGATCCACCATGGGGTGCACACGATGACAGGGGCATGGCGACCCCTATCCACGACGTCGTGGCGCTGACCAGAGAAAAAAGCAGTCTTGGGGAAATACAATGGGGGGGCGTCCACAATCCATAGTGACGCCTTCAGATAGCCCCCTCGGCTGTGTGCATCCCCGACTTGCCTCCCTTTTTTTGACTGACAGGTTTTGGGGGGGAACTCGGGAAGTGGGGCAGCGAGACCGCCTACGACATGAGGAAGCCAGGGCGCGGACGGAGGAAAGAGATGAACAAAGATATTACAGAATTAGACGGGGAATTCAAAAAAGAAGGAACGATAATAAGGGAAATGTACTTCACGGTTCAAAATATGTACGCACCACCCCGGCCGACACTGCGGAGGCCAAGAACTGCAACCTCCCATGCCGAGAGTCCTCCGTGACAGATAGGGCCGTCGGCGTGGCGAAAGAGTCGATGCCGAAGAAAGCGTAGACAGAGACCACTTCATCTGGTGTACCCTCTGGTCCCGACCAGCCTGGTATGTAAGACACCTGGCGAGCGCAACAAATATCCTGACAACAACAAGATAGAGAAGCGATGCCTGCCCTCGACTGCCAGGTCGTTGCGTGGCGAATATACTGACTATATACTTGAAAAAACGAAATTACACTTGAAAACAACTATAACATGTGTAGAGAGACTGCATAAACTGCTGCACCAAATTCGGAAGTAGTACGTGGCGAAAAACAGTGTGGCCTACAGGGAAGGACATTCAGCAATCCCAAAAAAAAAATTCAACATTACCTCACACACACACACACACACACAAACACACACGAGTATTTCCAGAAATTTACTCCGTTGGAATGTTGTTTGTCATGTTTCTCTATTGGTGAAAATTACCCCAGCCAAACACCCCAATAGCAGCAAAAGGACTGTGGGACCTGTGGGACATGTGGGCCATGTGAGATCTGTGGAACCTCTGGGACCTGTGCGACATGTGGGGCAAGTGTGACACACAGGGCCTGTGGAACCGGTGGCTCGCGAGACCTGGGGACATGATGTGGGACCTGCAGAACCTGCGGAACTCGTGGGCTTTGGGATATGTGGGACCTGTGGGACACGTGCGGCCTGTACCACCTGCGGGACCTGTGGGGCACGTAGGACCCGTGGGACCTGTGGGACCTGAGGCACCTGTTGGGTTTGTGGCGCCTGTGGGACCTGTGGGACTTGTAGGACCCGTTGTACCTGTGGGATATGTGAGGCTTGCGGGGCCCCTCGGGCATGTCAGAATTATGAAACCTGTGCGGTTTGTACGACCTACTTGCGCCCGTGCATCACGTGGAACATGTGGGACCAGTGAGCCTTGTGGCTCCTGTGGGATATGTGGAACAGGTGTGACCTGTGGGACCTGTGGACCTGTGGGACCTGTGAGACCTAGGGGACCTGTGGGAGATGTGAGACTACTGGCCCGTGAGACCTGTCCGAACTGTGGGACCATGGGACAGGTGAGAACAATGGACTTTCGCTATTTTTGAAACCTGCAAGACCTGCATGACCTATGGGACCTGTGGGACCTATGGGGCAGGTGAGAAAAGTGGACCTGTGGCAATTATGGGACCCGCGAGACCTGTGTGAACTGCGGGACATGTGGGACCTGGACAACATTGGTGCACTGGTCGCGATAGCTGCCATTACAAGCACCTCGCTTCCCCCTCCCCCCTGGTAACGTCACGATTCCCGCCGGCGGTGCTTGGGAAGCTTGGGAACAACCAAATAATCTCGCAAAGCAGAAAACGATTGAAACCTGCTATGGCCCAATGCGTAGCAGGCCCCGAATGCGCCGGACTTGCGATGGTTAGCCACGGAAACCTGAAAGCAGCGTAAAGAACTGCTAAACATAAGATCTGATGTTGCTACATATGTTAACTTCCCTCTTCCGTTTCATCCTCTTCTCCCCCCTCCTCCTGCTCCTCCTCCTCCTCCTCCTCCTCTTCGTCCTCCTCCCCCTCCTCCCCCTCCTCCTCCTCCTCCTCCTCCTCCTCCTCCTCCTCCTCCTCCTCCCTTCTCCTCATCCTTCTCCTCCTCCTCATCCTCTCCTCTTCCTCCTCCCCCTCCTCCTCCTCCTCCTCCTCCTCCTCCTCCTCCTCCTCCTCCTCCTCATCCCCATCATCATCATCATCATCATCATCATCATCATCATCATCATCATCATCATCATCATCATCATCATCATCATCATCCTCTTCCTCCTCCGCCTTTTCCTTCTTCCCCTCTTCTGGTCCTCCTCCTCCTCCTCCCTCTTCCTCCTCCTCCTGTTCTTCCTCCTTATCCTCCTCTTCCTCTCGTCGTCATCCCCCGCACTAGATTTCAGCATGTTTTACAAAAGGACAGATGAATGAACGTGGGAGTCCAAAGAAGGGAAATCGAGGCAAAAGACCAAGCCGACTTTGGCTACACGTGTGATATCAATTCGCGTTTTGTTGGAAAAAAACAAAAACAAAGCTTGGGACACCCTGAACCCGAAAAGGTAATGGCCTCGTCGTCGTCCTCTTCCCTCCTCCCCTTTCTGCTTCCCACGTTCCGCATCGCGTTCAATTTCTCAACAACGCGCGCACCACAATCGTTGGGGCACTGGAGGGCGCGCGGAATGGCGCAAGCTCATGCCATCCAACTCTAACCGAACTGTCCTAAGACAGGCGTTCGCATGCGCGCACCGAACACCACACCGGCCCTCGAGCACCACGCTAGAAACATAAGTAAAACAATGACAACGAGAAGAGGAAACAATGAGGAGGACGACAAGGCCGTTTCCAATGTCGGGCCCAGCAAGCTGTTCGCGCGCATAATGTCGGACCCAAATGTCGGGCCCACAAACCGACAAGAAAACAAAAAGTTTCAACCTGGCTGCTCCGATCCCCCCTCCCATCAGTGTTGTTGTTTTTGTGCGAAATACTTTGCGATCGAATCAAACAGACGGAGATGAGGAACGGATGAACGCGACGACGACGAAGCGACGACAACAACGAAAACGACGACGACGAAGACGACGACACATGCAGAAGCCGCGCTAAAAAAAACACATAAATCAAAATCCCCGTGATATCGCCTGAAACAAAAGATGCGAAGACGCACCAACTGGCATCGTCAACGGCCCTGATCCAAAACGGTACTGGCGCACCATGCTCTCCATCGCAGGCCCCTCATCTAAATGCACCGGAAAAACATGTATGGCAATGAAGTCATTTCCAGAGCGTGGAAAGAGCACCGGGCGCATGCAGAAACGGCTTTCGAAAACTCGTTTTCTCGCGCATCGTTTTTACCCGTGAGTTGCACGAGTGCTTCTGTGAGCTCCTGGCGGAGCACAAGTCGAACCAGCCAGTTAACGTCGATGTCTGGTTTCATGGAACCTGAGTTCACGAAATTGACCGATGCAGACCGCCGACGCTTGAACGTGACGAAGGGCATCGTGGCGCAGGCGCTGAGTCCAGAGACGCAGGCGACCAAAATCGCCATTTCGAGAGAGGTGGATCCAGTTCGTGATGAGCTCGATGATCTGCGCGGTCGCGTCCAATGCTGAAGGATCACCCAACATCTTCAGTCCTTCATCGAAGCGACATTGGCCATCGTCAAGCCGTTGGATGTTTCGAATCTTCAGGTTGCCGCCATCGGTTTCAAATCGATAAGCATCGAGTCTCGCATGTCTGAGTGACAGCGTTCGGCAAATTCGATTGATCAATCGATAAGGCCGACGTCGGTTGGACATTGTCATAATGGTCCGAGAAACAACCGTCAGCCGAGTTCTGCTTCATTCTTACAACTCTCACACATGGTATCTGCGCGGGAGTTTTTACAGAAAGCTGGCGGCAGGGGCACGAAATTCGGTTCATCGGACAATTCTTCAGTCACGTTGAAGCCAGCAACAAGCAAGGTAAACATTACCAGAAATTGGGCTTTGAAAAAGGCCACAGAGCTTGTCGAGCAGGCGGCTGGAGGTCGCGATGTTCGCGCCGATTTTAAGGGGCGTTCTGTCGCTGTCGACGGTGCACCAGCATTCGAGCAGAGCAGCGGCGAGCTCGAGGGAAATTTCTGGCCCCTTTTTGTCACTTGAAGCTCCCGGCCCACTGGTGGCCGGGGGGCGCTTTTTCCACTCCTTCCTCGTCTTCGCCCGTTTCCTTTGACGTGTGTCCCGCCCTCCACTTTGCGGATAGTGAGCGGTCTCCCCCAGGCAGACTTCGTCGTCGCGGTCCCAGATCAGCAGCGTCGCCATTGAGGAGTATCTATAACGGAAATTACGTCGCGGCACCAGTTCTCCGAGCGCACAGCTATCAAGCCAGAGCAGCGCGGCCCAGGTCACTTCATGCGCCACCCGGCTTAAACCGGTTAATTCAGCGAGCGGGGCCCGGCCTAGCCCGAGCGCAGCCCACCTGAACCCGAACATTCCGTTTGCAGGAATCGGAGCGAGGGCCGCCTCAGCCCAGATCCAAACGCGGGGTGCCTGAACCCAGCATTTTCGAATGCACGGCGCCTTTTCCTGGAGGGCACGGGCACCCCCCCTCCTCGTTTCCCTCGTTTGCCTCGCCCTCATCCTTCTTTTTCTCAAGCCCTCTCCTCCTCGTTCTCTCGTCAGGAGCCTAATCCAGCGAGTTCACCTCGGGCAGGCGGTCGGCGCGAATCCCGGCCAGCGCGTGTCTTCGATCTTTCTGATCGCACCATCTTCTGTTCTAAAATACAAGGTTTCCTCGCAAAGCAAGCAGAACCCAGCGCTCGCCTCACCCACCCCACCTCTCCCCCGTCTGGTTTGCCTCAGTGGGGCGCATTTGGACGGCAACGTTCGGTATCCATGTCTCGAGAGACTTGCCTTGATCGCTCGTCGGGACAGGAAAGTTCACGGGGGTGGTGTTGCGGTTGTTGCTGCCGAATATCATTCCGACGTTGTTTCATTCGCAAAAGTATCAGAGTTCGCCGAAAACGGGCTACCGATTGACTGTCACGCAGATCCAGTACTTCTACGATATTGGAACAGGCATCCATACTATAGCGGAGGCCTTTCGTTTCCAAGCTTGGGGGTTACGTTGCGCGAGTTAGAGCAGCAGCATATACGCAGCACGATCGAAGATGATACGAACGCGCACCACACTGGCTGCTTGCGTCAGTCGCCGCACACGATGTCAGCAGCCACGGCCCTCCGAGATTAAGCTGCTTCCAATGCGCACGTCAGCCGACTCGCGGCCCGCGTCTTCTCGATCTTGTTTTACGTGACAGCCCACTGTGGAAATCTTAAATCACTTGCCTGATCATTGCCCCATCTCCCTTCGCGCCCCCCTTCCGCCTTTTTATCTTAAACCTCCATGCGCACTCATCGGCTTTACTCTCGCGCTCAATGGCACGACTTGCATCGGTTACTAAGTTCCGAGGACCGGCGGCGGATAGATTCCGCGACGCCCAGCGCAGCAGCAGCAGCAGCCTTCATTAGCAACGCGATTTGGTAAGGAATTGCAGCTTTCATCCTTTGCAGCGCTGGTCAATTTCAGAGCTCACTCTTGGCTGG